GCCTATCTCACAGCCATAAATACTCCACTCCCAAGCCAACTACACCAGAGCACAGGTTGCTGTCCTCTGAAGATGCCAGCCACAGAGACTGGTGAAATGTTAGGAAGAACAACCTTCAGAACATGGCCAAAGAGCCCGAAAAACCTACAACAACCACACCTATGTTTATCTTCCAAACACCAATTTGAGAGCAAAGAACAGTGAATGCAAGAGAAGTTGGTGACATTTACTTACTTTGACTGTTGTCCTTCATCAGTTGAAGGAGTAACTCTTTCTGAAAAGATAGTCTACACACTGGCCAGAATCCTATTGCACAATTATGTGTGTGCAACTTAAGGTTGCACCGACAGGAGCTGCACGTGCACCAAGGCAGAAATGCTGTCCCTGAAGCACTTGCACAGTTGGTTGTGCTGTGGAGAAGCACCTGGCTTCACACTTGCATGTTGCAATTCCTTGTCACCTGATTTGACATATTAACAGGACATGGTTTTTTGTACCCTGTGACTGATGCTTAAAGGGAGATTTGGACATTCTGTGGAGGGGAAGGAGAATATGAAATGAGAAGGGTCTGTTGATACCAGCACAGAAATTTGTGAGGCACCCCCCATGTCACAGAGGCTCTTTCTGATACTGGCGAAATTTCCTTTGCTCTTTCCTGTAGGTTTATGAAGTTTTCCCGTGTATCATGAAATATCTTCCAGGACCTCACCAGAAAGCAAAATCTGCTGCTAAGACTCTTCTTTCATTTGCAAAGAAGCAAGTAGAAAGACATAAGGAGCAACAAAACCTACATGAACCTCAAGATATCATTGATTTCTATCTGCTCCAGATAGAGAAGGTAAGTCATAGAATCATGAAGTTGGAAGGGGCCTCTATGGCCATTGAGTTCAACCCCTTGCTCAAGGCAGGAATCCAGGACAAACGATATTTGATTCTATGATTGTCTCCATATATAGCTATTCTTTGTCCAAGAAATGACAGGAATCATATCTCCTGTCATGGAATGGTGTTGTTTGGAGAACTAGTAATAAGACTTCCTCAAACTTTGTTCTGTTAGACTTCTAAAAAACATGCCAGTCTAAGGTCAGAGTTAATTGTATCACACGATCGCTCAAGCTCTACAAAGCTCAGACCAGAATCCCATTGACTCAGCCAGTTGCATAAGAACAATCTTATTTCCTCCTTCCAGCAAAATTCTTCTTCATGTTTCTGATCTTGCACTGGTTTTGAAACTGGGTGTGCGACTTGTAGAAGGCAGGCGAAATTGCTATGTGTGGTTTTCATCCGACTGGATTTTTGTCTTGAAACCTGGCAGCTAAGACTGGTGCCTTTACAGATCAGGAACAATGCTGCACCATGTCACAGACTTTGATTTCTGTGTAACATTTTCTTCCGTGCGTCCACACTTTTCTTTGGTCCTTCAGGCCAAATTCCCCAAGGGGGAGGATGGACTGACTGGGAGAAGAGAAGGAGATGCTTGTCGTAACGGTAGCTAACATGTTGGATAGAAATTGATTCCAGATATATTGTATACTTACTGTTTTTAACTTTTAAACATGGTCTTTTTAATGATGTAAGCCACTTTGGGTCCTTTTAAGGAGAAAGGTGGGTTAAAAATATTCAAAAATAAATAAATTAAAGGTTTATTCGAAACCTCCTGCACTTTGTAACAAAGGTTTCTAATTAGAGGCAGCAATTCTGTTCTGATTTACGAAGCAGCATCCCTAACCCAACCAATGAAATACAATTTATTACATTTAAATAAGAAAACGGAGGGTAAGGGGTAACTCCATTGACTTCTCATAGTTGTTGTGTGCCCTCACTCTGACCCACCGTGACCCTATGGATGAGTGACCTCCAAGGTGTCCTACCATTAATAGCCGCAGCTTCCTTTATTGAATTAAAGGATTCTTGTTCTTCCTCTTGTTCTTCATCCTTTCCATTTTCCTAGCATTCTTATCTTTTTTCCAGTGGGTCTTCTGATGTGCTGAAAGTATAACAGCAGCAGTTTGATCCTTTTGGCTTCTAGAGGCACTTCAGGCTTGATTTTCTCTAAGACCAATAAATTGCCCAGCTCTATTGGCAGGAATGATGAATGACCTTCGTAGAATTAACGATCTATACCTAATTAACTCCTCCCAGAAAGCTGAGAGCAAAACTGTGCTGGAGCGAAAAGGATAAATCTTACCGATTATCAGGATTTGCAAATTGGGTATACTGGTGCAAATTTTTGCCACATAAAATTTGACGCATTCCCAAATAGAACATGGATGCCGCATTTCCTCTTATGAGCTAAACAGGCCTAGCTTCTATAAACAATTGGACATTGGGACTTGCAAGGGCAAACAGCTTAACCTTTATACTGTTTGTTTTATGCATTTACTCACCTGCGAACACAAAATTCTTGAATAAATCTAGAATTTGAAATAAGTTAATTTAAGGAAGTTAACTGAGAATGTTGCATTTCCTGCAACAACCCTTCCTAAGTCTTTCGCAGGAAGGGAAATGTCCCTAGTGTGAACTTTCATAACTTCTCTTAAGATTCAAGCCTTACTGGCCATGCTAGCTGTGAGGATTCTGGAAGAGGTAGTCTCAAAAGTTACTTTCTCAAACTGTATTCCCTTTTTTTAAGCAGCCCACTCAGTTCCTGTCATGTTCTCTCTTGCCTAGAAGCAAATCCTCTGTGGCTACTGGGCTTTTTTTAAAAAGTCTGATTTTTTTTCATGCAATGAAATAAAAGTGCAATAAGAATATGTGAACAGGCACTATAACGATTCCCAGGATCACACTGTATCTCCTGTTTTAGCAAGTTTGAGGAGGTTGTGGTTGCTAGATTACAACTCCCATGTGGGAGTCCTCAGTTTCTCCCCACCCAAGTGTTCATATTGACAGGAGTCACTGTGAAATGGACTCAGGAACCTGGAATTACACCCCCTCTGCCCTTAACAACCTTGTACCCTTCGGATAGGTTGAGCCACAACATCCATAATACCCAGCCATCATTGTCTGCTGCCTATGTGACTAATAATTAAGTGGTGCTGAGTTAATTCGGATTTATCCCAACCCTTGCCAGGGTTTTCTGGCTATAAAGAACTCAAAAGTGTTTTGCTGTTTCTTTCTTTCTTTATAGGGGTGGCTCTCTGAGGGTGCATAGCTTGCCTAAGGCTACATAAGTTGGTTCTTATCCCAGGAGGCCTGGTTAGGAATCAAACTCCCAACCTCTGGCTCTTCAGCCAGAGACACAACTCAAGGAGCTATCCAGCCAGCTACTGCCTGTATTAGCTTTCCCTGTCTCATATGTGACTCATCCCTCGCCAGCTAGGTGAATTGTACTCCAACACATCTGTGGAGAATGGAAATGAAAAGCCAATAAGCGCTGTGAATAATAGGAACATGCCTATAAACTTACACTCCACTTTTCTTCTTATTGACAACAGAGCAAGGACGATCCTAACTCTACCTATAATGAAGATAACCTGGCTCAGAGTATTTTTGACCTCTTTATAGCAGGAACGGATACAACGGCCACTACTCTCCAGTGGGCCCTGCTTCTTATGGTGACTCATCAGGATATTCAAGGTGAGATAAGCTGCTGCAATGGAATTTGTTGTTGTTGTTTAGTCATTAAGTTGTGTCTGACTTTTCATGACCCCATGGACCAGAGCACGCCAGGCCCTCCTGTCTTCCACTGCCTCCTGGAGTTGGGTCAAAGTCATGTTGGTCGCTTTGATGACCCTGTCCAACCATCTCGTCCTCTGTCGTCCCCTTCAACGGAAATAAGAGCCATTAAATCATGTAGAGAAGAACCCTTGGTTAGCATGTAATTTTATACTGGGTAGCTGACTGATATATCAGTCATGGCCAGTAGTTTATTTAGATTGGGAGAATCAAGATTAGGCATCCTTCATTCTCAAGAGATTATGGTAATGTGCTCTGTATGGAAGACTTGGAACAGCATCTAGTGTGGCTGAGCAAGCCAGTTCAAGAGTGACCATCCCTTCCACACTGAAGACCAATACCACCTGTCCCCTGTCCAGCTCCCTGGTTTGGCTGCTTTTGGGACTGCCTCTTTGCTTTGGCCTGCTGGACAAGGGTGCCTTCAAATTGGAAGAGGCCATGATGAGAGAATATGACTAGTAGAATGGCCAACAGAGCTTTGGAGTTTCAGCTAAAGTTTGAGCCTCCCTCATTGAGTGTCAAAGCAAAAGAATATATTTTGGGGTGTATAGGCACTTATAGGAATACGTTTTGGAGTGTACAGGCACTTATAGGAATGTCTTGCACTGCCCTCTTGACTCACGTTTCGATTTGAGATTCAGAAAAATCTCATTTTCTTTCCCGGATCAAACTCTGAGCTCTCTCAGGAGAAGGGGAGAGTTCAGCATTCATGGGCTACTTCTGCCACCTCCCATGTGTCCACCAGCCATCCTTTCCACTCTACAGTTCAATGCATGAGGTAGAGTTGATTAAGCAACGAGTTGTAACCATCTCATCAGTAATAAACTTCCTCTTCTTCTGTTTTCCTCAGAAAAAGTCCAGAAGGAGATAGATGATGTTTTGGGCTCCTCTTCCACAGTCTGTTATCAGGATCGGAAGAAACTGCCCTACACTCATGCCGTGTTGCACGAGATCATCCGTACCAAATATATTTTACTCTTTGGGATTCCAAGACGATGCGTGAAGGATGTTGTTGTGGGAGGTTATCTCATTCGCAAGGTAAAGAAGATTGATGTGGCTTCAACACATGTATTCTAAAAACCAAGGAGTGTCACAGGAATGACAAGAGTGGCAACTTCATGAATGCATCAGCGGGGTGCTCCTCAAAAACTTCTAAATAGGTCCATGAGCCACTCCCGCAGGTGAAACATCAGTTTTACTGATGCATCTACAGAACATGGCTTTGTGTCCAAAACATGAAGGGGCCCCAGTACAAAACCTTCCTTGACTTCCAAGAAAAGATATACTCAGCTCTCCTCTTTGATGTTTTATTGTTGCTTAGTCGTAAAGTCGTGTCCAACTCTTTGTGAAGATATACACAACTCTTCTCTTTGATGTTTTATTGTTGCTTAGTTGTAAAGTCGTGTCCAACTCTTTGCGACCCCATGGACCAGAGCACGCCAGGCCCTCCTGTCTTCCACTGCCTCCCGGAGTTGGGTCAAAGTCATGTTGGTCGCTTCGATGACCCTGTTCAGCCATCTCATCCTCTGTCGTCCCCTTCTCCTCTTGCCTTCACTCTTTCCCAACATCAGGGTCTTTTCCAGGGAGTCTTCTCATGAGATGGCCAGAGTATGGCAGCCTCAGCTTCAGGATCTGTCCTTCCAGTAAGCACTCAGGGTTGATTTCCTTCAAAATAGATAGGTTTGTTCTCCTTGCAGTCCAGGGGACTTTCAAGAGTCTCCTCCAGCACCACAATTCAAAAGCATCAATTCGATGTGACTAAAAACCAAATATGAAGGTTAGGAATAAAACAGACTGTGACATATTTTTAGTTTCTTCTTCCCAGGAAGAAGTTTTTGGCCAGGATCCTGGTCTATCTTTTACACATACAGAACTCTACCTGCTGAAGATAAGATGGTGATGCCACAGGGCGGGGTCAAATGTGCATCTGCATGCAACCCACCTCTTATCAGATCACCACGGCAGCTTCTGAAGTTGCAGCTCCACCCACGTAAAGATCTGGCCAGTGTTCAAGGAGCAATTACAAAGTCACAGATCCACCTTCTTCACAATTCTACCTTCTTTACAGACACTTGATAAACAGTTAAATGTGGTGCATTCCTAAATTGGAAATCTAAATTGAGGCTTAGCGAGGCTCAGCTCTGCCCAAGCGTCCTATTCCTACTCTGGTGTTGGCTGGGAGTTTTCTTTCTTAGATTTTGCCCTGACTGGTCAAGGCCTAGGTTATAGAAGGAACACTTCTCTACTACCTTTTGGGGTTTGTTAGGGCAGTGGTCCCCAACCTTGGGCCTCCGGATGATCTTGGATTTCAACTCCCAGAAATCCTGGGCAGCAGAGGTGGTGGTGAAGGCTTCTGGGAGTTGTAGTCCAAGAACACCTGGAGGCCCAAGGTTGGGGACCACTGTGTCAGGGTGAGGGCAGGCTGTACTTGTTCCCAGTTCTAACTATGTAAAATTCTTTATCCATCGATTTTCAGAGTTGGAGACACGTTAGTCCATGCAGGCATTTCAGCTAGAAATGCAAAACAAATTAAAAGGGGAGGAAAAAGGACAGGGTAGCACATGAAAGACTAATTGCTGTATCTTAATGTGAGCTTCCATGGAACGTGGTCCACTTCAGGTATAAGAGTCTGATGTCTTATCCATGTATGTTGCACTTTTCATTGGAGGAGATGTCTGGAAAAAGCTCAAAGCCAGACTCAACGTTAAGGGGAACGTTTATTCCCTGTGACTCCCCTGTTTCACCTCCTAGAATCTCAGAGACACGTGCCTCAATAATTATTGATTATAATTACTACAATTATCAGACTTACAAGCCCATGTTTACCTTCTGCTGACCAATTATAAAAGAAAGCTAACGCAAGTTACAAAGATGAAGAAAATCACATGCAATGACAAGCTGACATCATTCTTTTATTGAGAGGGTATCTCATGTGTATGTGTTTTATTCATTAATTTAATCAATTTTACCCTGCCTTTCTCCTTAAAAGGACCCAAGGCAGCTTACATGATTAAAAGACAGTATTAAAGTTAACAACAGTGAATATAGGTAAAGGTTCCCCTTGACAATTTGTCCAGT